TGGAAATAAATTTCAAATAGAATTCTGATAGGCTGTTATATAAAAATGCAACTACACAGTCTTGGCATTTTATAAATCCTTTCTCCTAACTGGAGAGTGAACTTGAGTTCAGAGGTGATTTTTGTGCCTTCTTGGGTTTGTTTGGTGCTGAGGGTTGAACCCAGGGCTCTGCACACAGTAGCACCCAACCACTGAGATATACCCTCAGCCCCTGCAGTTTTTTCTAATGCTTTTTAAATAGTTTGTCAGAACTGTGCAAGGCAGTTTTTACCAACCATCTGTTTTTCCTGAAATCCCACAAGAGCCAGAATTCTAACAAGCACCAAACAGTTGATCAGTGATAGAGAACAGAATCAAAACATTGCCCTTTGCTTCTGTGTCATCCCTGTTCACAGTAGCCAAGAGGGCTTTTGTTCACAACTGATTAATGCTGTCACTATATTGATCTATCTGTAAGCTAGATTTAATAAGAAATTAATATATTAAAAATTGCTGTGTTCCAGACCACCATTTACTATGTCAGCTTTATGAGGTTGACATAAATCTAATTGTTAGATGATAGAAGAACATAATAAAAATTATCTTCCCCTGAAAAACAAATCAATGGAAACTATTAGCCAAGACTAACTCCAATTTTTTTCATGATCTCATTATCAAGGATATGGAATTAGACCAACTACAAATTATTAGCAGTGAACAACTAGTAGTACGTGTTTGGAATGTCCATTTTTAAATTCCCTCTCTGAGTTCTGCTTAGCATACAGTAGAATAAACAATGAACAGTTTACCAAAATCCAAGCATTGTGCATTAATGTTGTGTTTCTTTGAATTCTTTTTAAATCAAGGCTTATAGATTAGAACCATTAATATTGAAACACTACAGCAACATTTCACCTGTCCAGATCCACTGGTACAATACTTCAAATCCCCTACCTTATGAGCACATGAAGCCAAGCTTTCTCAACCCAGCAAAAGAATCTACCTCAGTTTCAGAGAATGAAGGCATCTCAACCATACCAAGCCCTGTGACCTCACCAGTTTTACCACGCCGACACTATGGAGAATCCATAACTAACATAGGCAAAGCAAGCATATTAGGTAATTTCTCTTCACTGTTCCTTACCTGACTATATGTACATACTCCATGTGGCAGAGTTGGAGATACTCCATTACCAAACTTCCAACAGTTAGTCTCTGAGGATTAATTACTCTCTGCTTGTTCATAGTCAAGGGCCAAGAACTTTTAAAGGTTATCTGATGAGGTCTTCCAGTTTCAGATGCGAAAAAGCAGGAAGAACAGGCAAGGCATTGTTCTGAGCATCAAGTCCCTTATTTTAATCTTGGCCCTTCCCCTTACTGGGAGAACTTAGGCAAGTTCTGTTGTTTATAATGCTTTTACCTCCTCACCTATGAGAGAGAGCCAGGCCTGTATTCTAAAGGTACCCACACACACAGTTCTTTGATCTGTTCTAAAAGTCTCTCAGACATTGTGCTTCCTAGGACAGAAAATATATTTCATTTCTTTGTGAGTGGTCTCTAGAGCACTAGCACAAAGTTTGGCATGTCACTGGAAAAATGTGTCGTTTGAATTTGTCCTTGCCTTTTGGTTACAAGTTGCCTTTACATAAAATGCCTCAAGATGGCACTATTTCACTCCACATTCGGAGGTGGTTTCGATTTTTTTTTTTTCAACCTGTCCACTCAACTTTAATAGTAATTATATGTATCAATAATGGCTATTTACCCATGTAAGTAATAACATGGTTCCTTTATCAGAGGTCTTAATCTTACTAAATACTTCAACTCAAAAACAATGATCACTTAAATAGAATAACATCTATTCCTTTGTATTTTTTTAATATTTTTATTCAAGTAGTTGTACAAAGGGATTGCCATTCAACAAACCACATTATGAATACAGTGTCTCTTGATCAATGTCACTCCTTGATTGTATATTCTTCTAAGTTGTATTCTTTGTTTATACAACTTTCCCTCTTTTCAATACTTTTTATTTGGAAACCTACAGTATAAATTATAATTTTCTTATGTCTCCACCCTGGAAAAACATGACTAGGGCCTAGCTCCTCTGCCAGTTGGCTGTAATTATGGGTGTGCTCTTCAGCTTGGAGTGTGGTGTGATTCAGCAGAATGACTACCCTGTTTTGTGAAATGCAGGGGCTGCTAGCATCGGAAAGGGACTTGGAGGAATGTTGTTCTCAAGATTTGGACGTTCATCCACATCACAGCCATCTGACCCATCAAAAGAGTCAATGGAAGACGAGAAGAAGCCAATTTCTTCACCTCCTACTACCACTGTGGCAACCCAGACCCTTCCACATAGCAGTTCTGGCTTTCTTGATTCTGCATGTTAGTTCATACGTTCTTTTTTTTAAAAAAAAAAAACAAAAACAAAAAACAAAACTTAAAGGCAAGATAATGTAAGATATCAATACTTGCAGTCAAGTCTCAGATCTGAAGTATATGTTATTGTACCCTACCACCACCCCCATACTGGAACTTGAACTTGGAGCCTGGGTGCTGTCCCTTGGCTTTTTCACTCAAGACTGGTGTTCCACCACTTGAGCCACTTCCAGCTTTTTGCTGGTTAATTGGAGATGAGTTTTATAGACTTTGCTACCTTGGCTGGCTTGGAACCACAATCCTCAGATCTCAGCCTCCTGAGTAGCTCAAATTACCAGTATGAACCACTGGTCCCCTGTAACATTAGCTTTTAAAGATGAAGAAAGGGAAAAAAACTACTACTTTTTAAGAATCCTTCCCAGAGCTGGGTGCTGGTGGGTCATACCTATAATCCTAGCTATTCAGGAGGCTGAAATCTGAGGATCACTGTTCATAGCCAGCTGGGGCAGGGAAGTTCATGAGACTCTTATCTCCAGTTAACCACCAGAAAACCAGAAGTGGTGCTATGGCTCAAAGTGATAGAACACTTTGAGGGGGGCGGGGGGGGGAGAGCACAGGGACAGCCCCAAACCCTGAGTTCAAGCCCCATGACCCACAAAAAAGCAAAAAAAAAAAAAAGCCTTGCAGGTAAATGCTGTTTCCATTTTGCATTTGTGAATGAATAATTCAATCAAGGTGTTATGATATAAAAGGTTTAAAATGCCAAGAGCTAGTAAAATCTATTTGGGGTAAGTGTCCCCTGGTCTTCTCATATAATTCATATCTATGCTAATTGTAGTCCTGAGACTTTTCCCACAGTTCCCTTCACCCAGCCTATAAGACCTTCAAAGCTTAGCAATTCTAGGTCTACTGCTTGGTTTCTCATCCTATCCCAGCTATCTAGTGTGAAGTAGGTGTTTAAGAGATGAGGAAGTGATTGGATAATTAAGCTAAACTTAGCATTAGAATGGAACTTTAATTTTTCCCCAATGAACTTACAAAATTTAAAATCTTGGATAGCTGTGAAACACTAGTAGTACCTTTAGTATGTGTTTACTTCTAAGTGTAGGCGTTATTTTAAAATGTCTAATAAAATAAAACTAATGTGTAAAATCTTAGCTTTTCTATTGACAGATGAGAAGAAACATTGCAAAACTAGCTATTCCCTCTCTGTAACTATAGCAAGAGGGAAACTATCACTAAAAATGTTTAAATAGATTTTAGTTTTTTATGGCATTGTCTCCATACTGTGTGTGCTACTCTAAATTTTGAAATCCAGCCATCCATAAAGTGTATTATAGCCGGGTGCCGGTGGCTCACACCTGTAATCCTAGCTACTCAGGAGGCTGAGATCTGAGGATCGCGGTTCAAAGCCAGCCCCGGCAGGAAAGTCTGTGAGACTCTTAATCTCAAATAAACCACTAGAAAACTGGGAATGGCACTGTAGCTCAAGCAATAGAGCACTTGCCTTGAGCTGAAGAGCCCAGGGACAGCGCCCAAGCCCAGAGTTCAAGCCCAAGACCCACCAAAAAAAAAAAAAAAGTTTACTATAAAGGAAGTAAGTTTAGGTGTTACAGCCCCAGAGACTGGCTAGTTCTTCCATAAGGAAGGGTTTGGCATTCCTAGATTGCCAGTAACAGTTTGATCTTAGTATCTAAACACTATGTGGAAAATTATTTTTAGACTTCAGTATGTATATATATATATGTGTTGGTCTTAGGGCTTGAACTCAAGAGTCTAGATGTTGCCCCTAAGCTTTGTTGCTCAAAGATATCAATTGAGCCACAGCTTAAGTTTTGGTGGATAATTGGAGATAAAAGTCTCACAGACTTCCCTGCCTAGGCTGACTTCAAACCATATCATCCTGAGTTCTCAGCCTTCTGAGTAGCTAGTATTACAGACATAAGCCACCAAACCAAGCATCTTTTTAGGTTTTGATATTTGTATAAATCTGTTTTTCTATGAGTTCCATACTATTACTGACTTAAGTTCTCATTTTATTTCATATTAAAAGTATGATTGTGAATATGTAAAATTCTGCAGAGACATGTAAATGTCAAAGCCTTAACTTCTGAGGAAAAGTAACTTGAAAGAATTTTATAGGGTAGCAGTTTAAAAATGATAGTTTCTTGTAATACTGTTAATATACAGCAGTGATACTGCTAAGCAATAGAATTGAGAGAGTAAGAAGAGCACAATAAGGAGTTGAGCTCCAGAAAAAGAGTAATGGAAACACATATAGAATCTCTTGGTCTGACGGAAGAAAACTTGTTTTGCTTGCTATTATGTTAATTCCAAAATGATAATATGAAAAGCTATTTTTCCTAGAACAGTAGTAGTGGAAGATCTGATCTTCACAAAACATATGTGCTAGGCAAGTACTGGGCCATTGAACTATACCCCTTGCCATATCCTCTCTCATTCTTGCATGTAAATTATTTGCTAGCCCTAATGATAAATTTGTCAACTATAGTCTCAACTAAATCCGAGCTGATCATGTCTTTGTTTTATATGTGTGTGTGTGTGTGTCCAGATTGAGCTATAACTATTAAAATTGTATTCCTGCTTCAGTAAATTTTTGCAATTTAAATGAAATCCTCAAGATTTGCTATACTAATTATTTTACTGCTTCAATAATATATTCTTCTTTGTAATTCATAGATGAATTCTTTATATCATAACTTCTATCTTGACTATATCTTAAAAATCATAACACTGTTCTGCCTTAAATCATCTTATGAAATTTGGTCATTGTGACTAGGTGACTGGCTTCCTTCCTTCCTTTCTTTCGTCAACTCAGCTTTGATTCCCTCGGTTCTGGATATCCCCTACTCTGGAGCCACTGTCTTGATTCTCTCACTGTCTGAGGCTAAGAAGGACCTGGCTATGCCTTCATGATCAGTCAGCCTTTCACTCTTTGAAGAGTGTTGAACTCTTTATTTTCATCAAGTTGGTATGCCTTATGTAACTAGTCTTCATTTCTCTTGAAAAGTTTCAGAGTTTAAGGTTTCATTTCCTATGACCTTGTCTATAACATATTAGTGGGTTAAGACTAAATTAGCAAATTAGGAAATATCTAGGTATTAACAGATTATAACATATATACTTCTAAGTTTAATTATGCTTACATTTTCCATGAAAGAGCTTGTCACAAAAAAAAAAAAACTGAGTATACATTTTTGGCAATTTGGAGCTTGAACCCAGAGTTTAGTGGTTACTAGGCAAGGATTCTAACCATGCCTCCAGCAGGACTGTACTTCTTTATGTATTCTAGACTTAGCCAGCTTAATTAGAAATATATTATTCTAAAATTTGGCCACTGCAGCATTGAAGGCCATTTTTAACCATCAGCCTCATCTTTACAGCATCTTGTTTGTTTGTTTGTTTTCACAGATTTCAGACTTCAAGAATCGTTCTATTATCTCCCACAACTTCTTTTTCCGGAAAATGTAATGCAGAATAAAGATAATAGCCTCGGTATGGTATATGTTAGGAATAGCACTCAGTATACTATAAAAAAAATCTAAGAGTTCTGCTCATTTAAAAAAAATGGATCAGTTTTTATATAAAATAGCCATTTAATGTGCTAAAATATATGATCCTCAGGTATTTTTCTACTAAGAGTGAACCTTAGAGAGTCAAGAAAGGCATTAGGCCAGTTTATTTTCCTAAAGGCTTCAAAAAGAGGTTCGTTATTCTTTAAATGTAATATACTTAACAATATTTAAAAAAACTCATTTCAAGTCATTTCAAATATTAACACTTAGGGTTACAGGTTTTTTATAGCTGATAACTGGTTCCAATACAAATATTTAATGTACTTTATGGGGATAAACCTACTTTAAGAAATAGTATTATTGGATACAAAAGGTATTTTCCATGTTTCTAGTTTTAGCCTACTTTAAATGTATGACTAAAGGACTAATTCTTTTTTAATTAGTGTTGAGAATGGCATGCAGGGTCTTGGATTCTACTCATCTAAATCCCCAATTTCTTAAGGATTAATCTTAACAGTTTAAATTTGTTTTTGTAAATAACTTTTTTTTTTTTTTTGTCGGTCATGGGGCTTGAACTCTGGGCTTGGGCACTGTCCCTCAGCTCTTCAACTCAAGGCGAGTGCTCTACAGCTTGAACCATAGCGCCACTTCTGGTTTTCAAGTGGATTATTGGAGATAAGAGTCTCACAGACTTTCCTTGCTTGGGCTGGCTTTGAGCTGTGATCCTCAGATCTCAGCCTCCTCAGTAGCTAGGATTACAGGTGTGAGCCACCGGCGCCCGGCCATAAATAACTTCTTTTCACAGCTTCTCTCTCCTATTTTTAATAGTGGAATTTATCTTTAGTGAGAAAAAGTTTTTCAGGGTTTTCTGTGGATATTTTAACTACATTTAATTTATAAAGTTTATTTGATAATATTTGTTGTTGTTTTGACGTGGTATTAGTTTGAGGTTTTTGTTCTTTTATGTAAGGTTATGTAAGGTTAGCCCAGGCTAACCCTGACTCATTTTTAGTGAGAAGGGAACTTAATCTTCTCATATATTTCTCCTGCAGTAAACCAGCCTTACATTTCCAAGTCATCCTTACACCCTAACAGTTAGACCACAGAGCATATCTACACCCAGAAGGTTCAGTTGGCAAAATTGATATGGCTCTCGTTTGCTCTTTCCTTGTTTGACTTATCCAATTACTCTATTAAATGTTCATGTGTCAAGATATACCATGGTAGTCACTAGAAAAGATACCGAGAAGACACAGATTTCAGTACTGCCCATAAAGTTGCTAAGAAACTAAATGTTTTGTAGGGAGCATATATTCTAGTAGAGAAGGAAGATAATCATATCATTGTATGGTAGTATGAGCCACATGACAGAGTTCCAGGTGAAAAGACTTGTCAGTTCTGAGGAATGAGAAATTGCTTTCACCTGACAAATTGCTTTCACATCATAAAATAATTGAGATGTAGACTTCTAAAGATGAAAAGATATTGCAGGGAGAAGGACCACAGGGGGTAATGCCTGTGTGATATGAAAAACTCTTAAGTTTACTTGAAAAGAACCTCAGAGAAGTGGAAGGGAAGAGTTCTGAATGTTATTGGAAATGTTAGACCAGATTGTAGACGGTCTTAACAAAAGTGGCCATTTTCTGAAGTTATTTATGATACACCGCTCATCAGTCATCAGCTATTTGAAACATGGGTATCTTCTAGGATAAAATTGACAGAAATGACACCTGATTATAAAATGTATTTTGGAACTTTTGTTACTATTTTAAGTGAAGAATAGTTAGAGAATGTTGTTAAATATTTTTGGAACAATGATAATTCACAAGTTGTGAATATTCCTTTTCCAATACCAAGCCATATCAGAAGTGTAGCTGCTCTGAAGCAAGACAGAACTAAGTTATACTGAATCTTCTTTCTTCTGAATGAATCACAAATCATCTAGAAGCATACATTATCCTTTGCGAGTACATATATTTCTAAAGCCAATGTCCTACAAATATGACCAGAATTATAAATAAGGTGTTTTATATAAGAGTCACTACATTTTTGAAATTTTTTGTCCAGGAAGGTTGAAAGGCTTCTATTAAATATAAGAAACATGTTCAGGGGGCTGGGAAGGCGGCTCAGTGGTAGAGTGCTTGCCTTACATGCATGAGGCCCTGGGTTCAATTCCTCAGCACCACATAAACAGAAAAAGCCAGAAGTGGTGCTGTGGCTCAAGCGGCAGAGTGCTCACCTTGAGCTAAAGAGCTAAGGGACAGTGCCCAGGCCCAGAGTTCAGGTCCATGACTGTATGTTATTTTCAGTTTCATATCCATGTTGACAGACCTCATACCCAGAATTCTCTAGCGAAAGTGCATTACTAACTAGATGGCTCACCTTCATGTATAGAGATTACCAACACAATGATTTGGGGAATAGGGAAGGAAATATGCCATATATATGACTCCTCAGAAAGAAAATAATATATGTTAGTGTAAGCAAAGAGCAGATGTCTGTGTCTAAACCACAGCTTTTCTTAGCTTTAATTTTCTTAAACTTTTAAGAACCACATTGTCTTTGTAGATGAAGAACTTTTAGCATTTCTGCATTTGAAAGAGGGCAAAAGAAAAAAATATTTATCATCATCTGTCCTTAAAGTGGGAAAATTGCCAGCCCATGTTCACTTTTGGTATCGTAATAATGGAAAGGCTTTAATTACATCTGAACCTTGGCCAAGAGTGTATTTCACATCACACAGAGAATGGTGCTGCTCCTTAGACCATAATTCTCTTAAGGATTCTTGATGCACACAGAAGAGAGGAAGAAGAGGATGTACCAGGCCACCTAGTTTTCCACCTGTCCTTCCAATTACCAGCATAAATGTGCGGTAACAGCACTGACAGCCAGACTGCAGGAAGTAAACCTTTTAAGGGAGATGAAAGACTAGAACAGGTTCATGAGGAAAAAGCTGGTTATCTCATTTCTTTCCAATGTGTTCTACCAAAGACAGATGGAAAAGGATAGGGAGAGCCAGTCTTGTTAATATAATTAAAGTCCCAATGGGTGGTAAAAATGATAATGGCATGTAATAGGAAAGTAATTTAATGTCTGAGTGTCCACTCTGAAAGGCAGTATTAAAGACAGTAGCATGTTAAATATGAGTAAATTTCTGGAACACAAGATCAAAGTGTTGCTGTCAAATAACGCTTATTATAACAGGAAAAATCTGGCTATTAAGTTTCAGCTGAATAGTTTTAGACTAGGAAAGTAAGTTCTTCAAAATCTTTACCAACCTTAACATAGGTTACTCTCTTTTCTGTTTCCTCTTTTCTTCCTCTAAGCAACTTCTTGGTTTCTCTTCCTTGTGCTTGAGAATTTGTTTATTCTCCTTTTCTCATCTGCCAGTCTGTTGTAATTATTGAATGTGCCTAAAATCCAGTGCATAGCTTCATAGAAGAAAAAATATCAAAGATTAGAAGTTCTTACCTCACAGGTCCAATGGATTCCAGCTATTTCTGACTTGTTTTTTAACTTGTTTTAACTATGGGAAAAAATAAATGTAGTCAGAAGATGTTTGTAAACAGCCTTTGTAGTCTATAAGTATTAGAGCCAGATAGGCATTATATTACTTTAATGTAAACCTCCCCTAAAAATCCATGGATAAATCCTTGAATCTTCTTCGTCAAAGAAGCATAATTGAATAGAAAATAACTAAAAGCATTTTCAAATTGCAAAGTGGTATTACCACAAAATACCTGCTTAAAAATTTGTATTAACTAATCGCATGTATTATTTCCTAGAGTGATAGGATTTTCTAGGTGTGTCTGCCACATTCCCAGCATAAAAGCAAAACCCAACTTTTCACTCCAGCCTTCTTGATTTTTGCTGGATTTTGCACTTCTTTCGCATTTCAAACAGAGAAGAGAATTCAAGTATCTAATAGTGTTATGGGCATTTTTGTCTTGTTTATAAAGTAGACCCTACAAAATATTGTTGGAATAAAGGACTTGACCTATAACTGTGCTGTCCTCAAACAATTGAGGACAGAACTTGAGGGGGAAAGAGCTGGCTCACTGACAGTTCTTAAAGATCAAAATGTCTTTCGTTAAAGCAATATCCTACTATATACCCAGGCTGGCTTCAAATTTACAGTCATGGCCACCATATTTTGCAAGTGTTATTTCTAATAATCTATTAAATGAATCCAGTAAAATTCTCTTAGAGCCTTGGTTTGTCAAAGTCCCTGACACAGGTACCTTACGTGGGTTTTAGAAAAGACTAACTTGAATTCACTATTCCCCTGGGTTAAATTTCTCTACCATGAAGTGGGCTCTCGTGAACTATCTAACGAGCACTTGAACAACCCAAGCTCATGTCAGACCCCTCTGAATTGATTCAGGCAAGTATGTGTGGCGGTTACCTTTAAGGACTTTCAGCCTAATGAAGAAGATATTCTTGGACTGCAAAAAGATGGTGACCTTAAAACAGATCCACCACAGAACCTGCTGGCATATAGGGGCCTCCTAACTAGGAAGTCTTGAGTGATCTGTTCCATTCCATTACTTTTGCAAACCTGGACCATAATTTGTAAGGGTGGTGTTTTCCTTAACAGATTAAGCACAAAGGTAGAAATGCTAGTATTTAAGCTTAAGGTTTTTGGTGGGAGAGTTTCCCTCCAGAACTATGCCACTGTACTAATTTTCCTTCTTTATTATTCCCTGTTGGCTTAGCAGACAAAGAAGTGGACTCCTGAGCTACTAAGCCTCTTTTGAGTATCCCATGAGATTAGAATAAAAATTCTCTCTAAAAGGGCATGGGTGATTAGAAATTTGTTTCCATCATCTGTACCATCGTATCTTAATGTAATCCTTATTCAATCTCTTTTCTTTGCAGTGGAATTGGATCACAGGATTGATTTTGAGCTCAGAGAAGGCCTTGTGGAGAGCCGCTATTGGTCAGCTGTCACGTCGCATACTGCCTATTGGTCATCTTTGGATGTGGCCCTCTTTCTGTTAACCTTCATGTATAAACATGAGCACGATAATGATGCAAAACCCAATTTAGATCCAATCTGAACTCTTGAAGGACATTAATGGCCCAAAACTGATTTTTTTTTTCTGTTAAAATGTGTATGTCAAGATACGGAGATTCCAGGATTAAGTATGTTCCAGTTTTGTTTAGGGAAAGAAATGTTTGAATTTAAAAGCACTTTATTTTTTAAAAAAGAAAACAAATTTTCAATCTAAAACAAGTTACTTATAGTTTCCATCATTTTGAGTATCAGTCACTGCATAGAAAGTGCAGTGACTATCAGCCACAGGAAGTGACACAACACCCTGTGTGAGGAAGGCTTGGATGAACTGTGTGTAGTTACCATCACTACCTAATTTCTGCAGAGTATAAAGATGTACTGATGCTGTGAAGTCTCACACATAAACCTGAACCACTGTAGGTCCACAATGGCAGCGGTCCAGTGGATCCTAGCTAAAGATTGCAAATGGTATCATTGTTGAGATTTCCATGAAAGTTTCCACAATTCTTTTGAGAGACTATAACGGATTTTAAATGTTTTAAAAGTCTAATGCTAAAACAATAATTGAACTACTGTATTTATAATTTATTATTGACTAAATGCTTTATTTCACCATTTGAAACATTACATTTTTTAATGTTTCCTTTGAACAAACTTAAGAACCACATTTATTTTCTAGAGTATGAAGACCCCTTTTCTCCATCTTTGTACTCTTCAGATGAATATATGACACTGTGGCAGAGTCAGTATTTTTTTTTCATTAAAAACTTGTGGCTTCACACATTAGTTCACTTATTTTAAAATAAAGATGAACTTTTTATTATGTCATATGTACCTCAGAGAAAGTTAAATTTTTTCTAAGCTTGACAGAGTACTCCACAGAGGGTACATTTCATCAACTTTACTAGAAAATTAGAAAACACCTTTGGAATAGGAAATACGACAACTATTTCAAACGCATTCATATTTGTGTGCCAAACAGTTAAGATGAAGCACTGGAGTGCCACTCACATGTTACCCTGATGTGATGACGAAAGCATGGGAACCCAGCAGAAGTGGTGCGGCGGGGTGCTGCGGGGCGTCCTTGGTGTCATTGTCCCCACAGTGCTTTCATCTGAGGAGCTCAAAGTGCTTTAAGGTGTCCCTTCAGTAATCTGTATGCTAGCTCCTAGAGGTAAGTAAATGAGTGTTATTGTCCTGTAACACATTAATGCATCGAGGCACCGAGACGGCTCGTGCCTGTGTTAGATCACATAGCCTAATCGGCAAAGCTTGGATTGAAGCCAGACCTCCGTGTGGTGTTCAGTGACTGGTGACTCACATGTGACTTGTGGACTGCGGACAACAGAAAGTGAAGAAACAATCAAGAAACCAGTACGTTACCCTCCATGTGTGCTCTCGGGCTCTCACACACAGAGTTCCGTGGAGCAGGGTTAAGTAGCCATCTCTGCCACAGCAGCCCTCACTTCTGAGTGGTGTCCACTAGGTTCCACTCAAGGTGCTGTCTTTACTTAGCTTTAGCTCACAAAGAAGAAATCATTTCTTTTCTGGCAGTACTGGGGATTGAACTCAGAGCCTTGTGCTTGTTCCACAAGCACTCTACCACCTGAGCCATACCCCCAGCTCTGCCCGGAATTTCTTAGCTTCCCAGTAATCCTTGTCAGATGGGAGGAGAGTTGGCCAGGCACCCATCTTCCCTGCTCCTTTCTTAATAATGCAGTAGAGACTGGCTGGCTTCTAGGTTCTACTCCACACCATCAGTACTGTTGGCTATTTTGGCCTTCCATTGAATTTGCACAACATAAAGAGCACTTTTTAGTGTTTAAAAAATTCTTAAGTCCCCATGACCAAGTACATGACTCACTAAGAAACCCTTGCTATAAAAGGCTTTTGATGAGATCTTAGCAAAGCTGAAGCAATCTCTTGAATTTAGAGATTCCTAGGAACTCAGGTCATTTTCATAACCTGTTTATTTTGTAGGTCTAATTTAGTTCTCAGGAAAATTAAACCCATGTTGTATGACTGTAACATTAAGGGTACTTGAACATATGTTGCTGTAGGTGGTATGACACTCAAATGCCTAAGAACTGGAAGGATTCCTCCTCAACCACTGGAATGTGAAAAGACCATTTTACCTTAAAAGAATGGAATCCCATGAAGCGTTTTCATTTGATACCATTGAGTAAAAAGAAAAGTATGTTCCCATGCCCAAAAAGAATATATCTGCTTCCTTTTCTTCATATTGAGGAAACAAATTGATTTCTTGGAAAGAGCAACATTCAATTTCCCTCCCCTTTCAGAATAGATGTTCTGAATTACTGAACCAGTGTGTTTGTTTCTAATTCATTATTTCATTAACAGAGATGGTAATTTTGGATTTACAATGCTCTTGTTTTGTGTCTCTGCATGTGATCATGGGATGTACTTGTATATACTCAAGTAATATTCAGAGTGTGATTCTGGCTCGATTTAGAAGCTAAGTCAGTTTCTGAGTAACATTTTGCAATTTTATTCAGCAACTACTAAAATTGGCCAAAAGAAGTTCTGTTTTTGATACTATTAAAATTTTATTCTCTACTTTGTGTACATGCAATGATTCTCTTGAGTAGTTCTGATTCTTTCATTCAACTTCAATCCAGCAAAGTTCCCAGGTGTTACAGAAAGTTAGAAGAGTGTTGCTTTATTTTTTCCTCTAAAACTAGCCCAGGGTTTTCATTCATAATTTTATTTTTAGGATTAATTTCCCTTATAACCCAATATTAACTGTCTTTAGGGAATAATTACAAAATGACACTGGATTTTCCAGTCACTACTCTTCTATGTATGATACAAGCCTTAGGAATTCCATTCTTCTTTCTGTCAGTATCTGCCTTTTTTTACTTGCATCAAAGACCTCTCACACACAACTTTCAACAGTCTTTTTTTCTCTGCTGTGTTCCTTCCTATTTATAAGGTATTTTAGCACACCATACATATCCCAGAGTGGACATAAGAGGAAAAATCATACAGTGGACTAGCGCTGCTGTTCATTCCAGTGATGTACCAAGAGTTTGAACTGTGAGCTCCATGGAAGAAAACTGGTTCCATTCCTTACCAGTTTGCTTGCTAGTTCTGTCTTTTTAGCTACTGATAAATAAGACACCTGAGAAATTGAGAAAAGTAACCAGTATATGTCTTTTTGAGGAGGCAGTACTGGGAATTGAGTCCAGGGCTTCATGCTTGCTAGGCAAGGGCTCTTGTCACTTGAGCAAGCCCCACCTCTAGTGTGTATCTTGTTTTTGAATAATCTTTCAAAACTATAGATATGAAGCTAACAGGCTGGGAATGTGACTTAGTGGTAGAATGCTTGCCTAGCATGCAGGAAGCCTTGGGGGTGATTCTTCAGTACCACATACACAGAAAAAGCCAGAAGTGGGGCTGTGGCTCAAGTGGCAGAGCAATGGCCTTGAACACAAAGAGGCTCAAGGACAGTGTCCAGGCCCCGCGTTCAAGCCCCATGACTGGCCAAAAACTAAAAAAGGAGGACAGAGCTAAAAAGATATACAATCATACACTAGAAAAAGAAACCAGACTTTTTCCAAACCGTTGGTCATGTGCCTTCTGAGGTGGTTCTTGTTTTCGTCTTGTTCATGCTGTGCTGTCATCCCTGAGCCTCAAGCCTGGTACTCAGGCTGAAAAACATGGGTGAAGCTGGGCGCCGGTGGCTCACACCTGTAATCCTAGCTACTCAGGAGGCTGAGATCTGAGGATCTCAGTTCAAAGCCAGCCTGGGCAAGAAAGTCAGTGAAACTCTTATCTCCAATAAACCACTAGAAAACTGGAAGTGGCGCTGTGGCTCAAGTGGTAGAGCGCTCGCCTTGAGCTGAAGAGCTGAGGGACAGCGCCCAGGCCCAGAGTTCAAGCCCCACGACCAACCAAAAAAAAAAAAAATGAGTTTCATCTCTTTTCCCCTCCTCCCCAAAAAACTCTGGGGTTGGGACCCAGGACCTTGAACTTGTAGGCAGGCACCTCGTGTAAGCTGCACCTCCAACCACTGAATCTCATCACAAGAAGACTCGTTAAATTACTCTGATGGTGACAGCGTGGGTTCTGTCATCCTATTTCAATCCTCAGTGAATACTTAGTGAATATTTTTTAATTACCTTTTAATTGCACAAAGGGGTTTCAATTCAACATGTCAGATTATGAATATAAGCCAGGCACCAGTGGCTCACATCTATAATTCTAGCTACTCAGGAGGCTGAGATCTGAGGATTGCAGTTCAAAGCCAGCCTAGGCAAGAAGTCTATGTGACTTTATCTCCAATTAACTATCCAAAAAGCAAGAAGTGGAGGTGTGGCCAAGTGGTAGACCATTAGCCTTGAGGGGGAAAAAAAAATGTTCAGAGACGGCTCCCAGGCCAGCACCAAAAAAAAAGGTTTGTGATAGCTTTCAAAGAGCCTTGAACGTTTGAGATTTGTGTGGATTTTGTAGATCTTCCAGTCGAAGGCTGTTTTATTTTCACAGCATTTAACTTGACACAGTGAAGGCCATGAAAAGTAAAGAGATAATAAACTCAATGTAAGAGTAAGTGTGTGTTGACAACGGAGGAATTGAAGTCCCGAAGGAGAAATACTGATAGTAAAGTTAAAAACCTAGATGGGAGGGGGGGCGGGGAGGACCATTTTCCAAAGCATAGTCTGCAAAGGCTGAGTGTTATACCAACTTAGAATGCCAAGTCTGAAAGGTTCCTAACTGGCAGGACTTTGGGAACCTCAGCTACTTTAAATGAAGTACAATCTAGTGCTGCTGCAAGAGACACGTTGCAAACTTACCTAGCCAGGAATCATTTCATTTGTAATGGACCTAAAGATCTGCTGGGTACAGAGCTGCATAGATTGGTCTGTTCTGTAATCTCAGCTTCACGGGAAGCAGAGATCAGGAAGATCAGGGCTCCCGGCCAGCCCTGTCAAACCGCTGACAAGATGTCATCTCAGTAAGTCAGGCATTGTAGTGCCCATGTGTGATCATAGCTACTCAAGAAGCATGGATAGGGTAAGTGCTGAGTGTTTGGATTACATTTAACTCTGTTACTTAATTTTACCTGGTGTCATGCCTTCATTTTACAAGAAAAATCCCATCCTGGACAACCACATGGCTAATCTGACAGAATTAGAACCTAGTGTCTCTGCCTGTTTTATACCAGAACTCTTGTTTCCCCTAATAGAAAATTCCTAAGGGCAAAAATCTCCCTGTCTTTTTGTCTCTCCACACACACACAGGTCTTGCCTATTAACTTTCAGCATGCTGGTGACATCAGTAGATTTCAGTTTAGTAGTTCATCTCCCTCCTTTCAGGCCCTCATGAGTATCATACCAGATCTCCACTTCTGTGTGTGCCTAGATTCAGAATACAAAGCAGACTCAGGATAAGCCAGGTACTGGTGGCTTATACCTTAAATCCTAGCTACTCAGGAGGCTGAGATCTGTGGATCATGATTCAGAGCCAGCCAGGGCAGCAAAGTCTGTGAGGCTCATCTCCAATTAACCACCAGAATACAGGAAGTGGAGTTGTGGCTTAAAGTGGTAGAACACTTATGCAAAAAGAAGCTCAGGGATAGCTGCTGGGCCCTGAGTTCAAGCCCCATAACCACCAAAAACAAAGGGAGGCAGGGGTCCTGCGGGGCAGGAGAGGGATGCAAAACAAGTGAAAAACCTAGAAAGGTTTTTTAAATTAATTTTCCATCCTAATGACACATGCAAACATGTTAAGGAAACAAGTTACAGTGGTAAATATTTACTATTCCTTTCCTTCCTGTAGTTTATATGTTGACTATCAAGATACAGCAAGGAGGCCACTTCTGAAATTATTTCAACAGTCAACTCATGGAAATTGAAAAGTGTGTGTGTGTGTATGTGTGAAAAATAGTCTCTTGGCAGATAGCTGGTGTGAGCTTTCCTCTGCCTTTGTATTGGGAAGGGTGAGGGGCAGGTGTACACATGGAATTATCTGTTACCTTCCGGTTTTCCACTCATGTGTAAGAGGGTATATCTTGCTACCTTTCTGCCCTTGGTTGTAAGTATATCCTGAGGCATTCCTCCTGAGGATGATGATAAGTCTTCTATTGGAGTAAGAGGAAAACAAGTTCATTGGTCTTTAGAACCATTGGGGGATGGGCTCCAGGACCCACACAGATTCCAAACTCTCTCGATGCCCCAGTCTCTTATATAAAAAGTGGTGTAATATTTCACAATAAGCTATGCACATCCGCCTGTGTACCTCACCTCCTCTCTAAGTTACTTATAAATCTTAACCGTATAAGTGCTGTGGAAACAGCTGTCACGCTGTCTTGTTTGGGGAATGGTAGCCAAAAAGTCTGTATATGTTCTGTACAGGTGTGTGGATTGTTTTCAGTTGGGGGTTTGCATGCAAGAGTACTATGGCTTAACACTACTGTAATGCTGGAAGACACCAAGTGTCTAGCAGATGCCTCAGACCACACCCACACCCTTTAGCCACTTCATCTCTAAAAGCGTTTCATTGATTCCCTATGAGCTTTCCAACAGAAAAATAACCATTTTCTCTACTATAATGAGTCTCTACTATGCCAGTAAAAGTCTGGTGGTGGGGCGGTTTTGGCTCTTTCTCAGAAATAGCTAGCACTATGACTTGTCCTTTGACTTTCTTTCAACCTATAGCCTCATGCTGTCTCAGTACTATTGGTTACTACAGTAATGACTCTGAAGGTGGGCTTTTTTCCTTTTGCCTTTGTGACTTCCGGTTTTTCCAAAGCCATGGCAGGATCATTTTCTCAGACTCTTCCATTTCACAGGAGCATTCTTGATCCTGTTTCATCTCTGCACAAATGAGCTCACATGGCAGAAAGCAAGACTTGTATGCTAGCATGGTCCGTTTCTGACTTTTCTCCTCTGGAGCTGGAACATGCACATTCAATAATGAAAAGCTTATGAAGACTGAAATGCTGAACGCTACTTTCCTGACAATAACCACTCTACCCTTCCTGCCTGGCTAGAACTCATCATACAGATGACTTGGGCCACTCCCACAGCCCTTTTTTAAAAGCTTTAGATATTTGTGTGTTTGTAAACCACATGCCTTTTTTCACCCAGGAACAGCTTTGAACCACCATCTTCCCAATCTTTGCCTCTTGAGTGGAATTACAGGTATCAGACACCATACCACACACCATAATTTCTTACATAGGAGTAAAGTAGCACTAGAAAGGACTCATCGTACTCCCTCGGTTGAAGAAGCCAGAAAGTGTTTGTTAAAATCATAATCAACTTGAAACCTCACTTATAATAGTGTGGTCTTTTCCAGAATTTAAACCCTAAATTTTTTTCAGACAGTTCTCCAGAATCATATCTGTAGAATGCTCATACATGTTTTATGTAGACAGAGATAAAGTCAATGCATTACATCCTCAGAGATGCATTGGTCTTTAAGGCCTCCATAAAATCATATGTTAAAAATTGTCACCAAAAGAAAGGGTAGGCCAATTGCTGGTGGCTCACACTTGTAATCCTAGCTACTCAGGAGACAGAAGATTATGGTTCAAAGCCAGCTACGGCAGAAAA